GTATCAAATTAAAATCAAACTATCTATAGAAACAAGCTGTCATGGCAAGCTGTCATAGAGAGAGAGAATTAAAGAAATATTATCCGGTATTCGCGCATTCTTAGGAGTTTTATCTATCCCCCCCTCCGCCAAGATAAACCCCGTGCCTCTTGTGCATCGGAGTAAACTCAAGACAATGATCTAAATAAACAAAAAACTAAAATTCGAGTTTTGTAAAATAATTTTAAAAAAAATTTTCATGTCCAAACAATAAATTTCCCAACTTCTATGTTTATGTAATTTCTTCAATTAGTCAAGCTCCTTATAAGGATACAAAAATTCACAATGTTCGGAAATTTTTATCCATGAAACGCTTGTTGAAAAATTTATTTCTTTTGAAAATCTGCGAAAAATTGCAAATTATGTAAAATGCAGTAGACTTGTCAACTTAAAAACTTAAATAATGCTCGTGCCAAAAAATGATGCCTCTTTTCGCATTTAACATATTTAACATTTTAATCATATTTTCAACTTTCAGTTTAAAATCTACTTCAGTAAAAGTGCCCCCCCCCCCCCGAAATCTCAGCTGTTTACCTGCAGTTAGATTATATTGTTCTAGCGTCCATCTAACGGAACATTTTTAAAATTTAACAAAACAAAGAGACTTTCCATACCAAACTTTACATCAAATCCATGGCGTAGAGATAAAACTCAGCTTTTCAAACTAAAATGACCTCATTAATCCCAAAACTGTGACCAGAAATAATCAAGTTTTAGAGGTAAAACCTTAGACATCTCTATCGTGAACTTTGAATTATTGTTCTTCTTTTTCATCGTTTCTGGTGTCTGGTTTATGGAAAATCAACTTTAGTTCTCGACATCTTAAGCATGTTTATTGTTTATCGTAACTTATTAAATAGTTGTAAGTCAACTAAAAAAATATAAACAGAAAATTCCTTAAAAAAGTCGCACTAAAATATTCTGCCTGGTTTTATGAAGCCACATGTTATTGGCCGGCCACCAGAGAGCATGATCCGACCAGTCCATTGCTATATCTTAAACAATTCAAGGTTTATACAGGGTGCTCTACATCATATTAGATCGTTTATAGCTAGCTCTAAATTGCGAGTTTCGGTTTAACAGAAAATTTTAAAAAATAAAAAAATTCTACAAGGCTAATATAAAAGTTTGTATGCTGAAAATACTAAGTTTTTTTTCGAGTATTATTTGCGTATTTTAGCGTTAACGCTTGGAAATAGTCCAATATGATATGGAATGCTCTGTGTTTAAAAGAATAGCTCTTCTTTATTTTAAGAATTTCATATTAATATAGGGCGGAAGTTACCGTGTATTTTTTTTCTGTATATACCTCTTTAAATGTAAGTTAGAAAACTTATTTCAAAAGCCCAGGAAACAATTTAATAAAAATAAAAGTATATTAGTACCTAATATATCAACAAGTTTGATCATGACACCCCCAACATGGTCTTCTCCATGAACACGCACACTTCTCTCAACCTATAGAAGATAGTAACCTAACTTCAAATATAAATTTTATACAAACCCTAAATTTTGAACTTAGAATCTCAAGATAAGATAAAAGATAAGATATAGTTTATTGCTAAAAATACAAGTTGTAATGTTACAGGCAAAAAATCTGCAACTATTTTTTATATTGTTTACTATATTCATGTAATTATAGCAATTAGGTGAGGATTAGCTATTTGCTGGTTTGAGTATTATCCCCGCCTAATCAATATTAAAACGTTTACAATATGAGTTTTAAGTTTAGTGTTTAACAGAATATGATTAAGCATGTACAAAAATCTACAAAGTGTTATATTCATTTTTTTTCAAGAATAACAAAAGGGTCTATAGCACTTTGAGATGTAGGCGTCGGTCCGTCCTAGAGAGCGATTTTTGGGCCCCCCTCCCCCCCCCTCCTATCAATTTTGTACATGACCATTTATTTTTCAGCAAATTTATTATTATTTATTTTTTGTTATTTGAGGTTAGGTTAGGTTAAGATACTTTCTGGGCCGAGCGCTGCGGCTAGGATGGGCTAGGGGGCCGAGCGCTGCGGCCACGGGTTAGGTTAGTTAAGACACTTTCTTTTGTTATTTTTGTAGAGTAAAAATAAGTAGATGTTAGTTCCACATTTATTGAAAATATATTTCGGTCTGGGTTGACCCTCGTCAGTTCTTGAGATTGTTTCTTCACAAAGATTAAAAAATAAATTTCTCTTTTCTATTTATTGTTACTTCGCAACATAATAAAAAATACCGCGTATAATTAAACAAATATCAAAGACGACAATTTGCTTTATCGTCTTCGTCTAGTTGTTCAAAACAAGTATAAATCAACAAATCAAATTCTCGGATTACTCATTATGAAGAATTATTTGCGGCATTATTGCACAGGATGAAAACTAATTCCCAGAAGAAAACACCTTTAAAATCTCAAAATCTGTCATATTTTGTTTTCTTAAATAATTGATTTAATCCAATAAATTTATAATTATTTTTCAAATATATTTATTCAATGTAGCTATAATAATTTGATATTACAATTTGCATAATCAGAACGTTCTATACGATGAAAATAATCAAATTGATCAAGATTGCAGATAATAATGAATAAGTTTGACTTAGTCACAGCTCAAGATGTCTACAGTTCCAATTACAGGTTTAAATATTGATTCAGTTTTCAAATTCCAGACTTTAATCCTAGAGCAAGATTTCAGGAACCCTCTTACACCTCTTTTTAAACAAATTTAAATGCAATTTTCCACAATTCTTATTATTATTTAATTCAAAGTTATTGAATAGGTAGGCGGCTAGGATGGGCTAGGTGGCCTATCGCTGCGGCCACCGGTTAGGTTAGTTAAGAAACTTTCTGGGCCGAGCGCTGCGGCTAGGATGCATGCATTTAAGATTCATGTCATAAGATCCATGTACAAAATTGATAGGAAGGGATTGGGCCCGGGGGGGGGGGTTGTCCAAAAATCGCTCTCTAGGACGGACCGACGCCTACGTCAGATAACATTTTAAATAAACTTTTTACAGATACCTAAACAATTGAGGTTAACTTATGGCTTAGAGATGTTTCTGAGAGCCAGACAGTCCAATACATGATTAAATTTACAAGAAAATTTTGGAGATTTAATTTTCTTCTTAATTAAAGACTTCAATTCAAATCATATCAGAAGCATGAAAAGCAGTGATTAGAATCAGAATTGAACTTGGGTTATCTGATATTGTCTTTGATAAAATATCAACATTTCACATTGGTATAATTCTATATATCTCTAAAATTCTATTATTTGAGAAAACAACCTGCAAATCCGTTACAAGAATGTTTAGGGCCCAAGTACCATCCATCATGAACAATCGGTGCGATTTATTTATCAATTAAATGCCATCGTTATCTTCCCTGAAACAACTGAAGAATTAAATATGGAAACTTCCAAGATACACTTCTAAGAATTCTTTGGCTCCGTGCTAGTATTCAATTTAGAACATGTGAACATTTATAATTTAATTTTATTTAAATTCGAAACATTTACTGAGGTTTTTTTTAAAAGAAAAAAACATAAGACTGGCTCTCGGCCTGTTCAAGCTGTATGCAGTTAAGAAAAAGAAGCCGTTATTATTTTATTTATCATGATAAATTGATAAAGATAAATTTCTCATTCGGTGATCCGGTGAAGGACCAATCCTCTGTGGAGTAAAAAAAGAAGATGTTAGTTCCACATTTATTGAAAATATATTTCGGTCTGGGTTGACCCTCGTCAGTTCTTGAGATTGTTTCTTCACAAAGATTAATAAAAATCGTTCTCTAGGAAATTACCATGTTATTAATTATTGCGCGCAAATGAGTTCAATTAAAAAATTTTCTCTCTCTAAAGATGTTTCCCAATTACTTTTTTATAAAGATGTGTTATTAAGGGCAGACAATGAATCGTCGACGGACGAAGATGACTCCCAGAGTGAAAATGAGAGTTCAGATGTAAGTTTTTGTATTTTCAGTGTTTATATGCAATTCATGTATCGTTTTATATATTTACTTTTCAAGGGATACATGATAGGTTTTCCAATTTTAAAGGAATCTAATATTAAGACTTAAAATTTGGTGATGGTGATTGACCAAACCTTTGTAGAGTAAAAATAAGTAGATGTTAGCTCCACATTTATTGAAAACATATTTCTGTCTGGGTTGACCCTCGTCAGTTCTAACGATAATAACCGTAAAAATCGATAACAAAAATTTTAAAAATTGTTAAGACTTGTAACTTTTTTCTAAATTATAGCATTGAAATAGATCATTTTAAAAAAGCAAAAAAGTGTTTTGATGACAAAGAGGGGGGGGAGAAGAGTATTTTTTTCCCCAGAATCCAATTGACGAATTGAAATTAAGGATGATGACTTTAAAAATCTCTTATTGGGACAATTACAAAATAGTTTTTTAAGGCAAAGAGGGGCGAGGGGAATATTTTTTCAGGAATTCTTTTGACGAACTGAAATTAAGGATGACTAATTCAAATTTCGGATTGGGAAGATAACAATGCAGTGTCCTGATAGCAAAGAGGGGGGAGGATGATATTTTTTCCAAAATGTTTTTTTTTCGGAATCCAATTGAAGAACTGAAATTAAGGATGACGATTTCAAATCTCGGATTGGGAAGATTGCAACAAGAACCTCAGCACACGGGAAAGTGAGAATAAGCGCATCTCGGGAACCAAGGTAGGATACTTAAGGTACTACAGGGGGGGGGAGTTGTCTCCGAGAAGGATGGTTTTGTTCATCTGTCCTTTTTTTCGACTATGATTGTCCAGTTTCTTAGGCCACGCACCTCTGACCCTTCAGTAAAAGTAAATTCAACTTAAAGTCTGACCGCGTCAACCTTGTTGCACCGGCTAGTCTTATCCATTGAGCTAGGTACAGTACAAACTGAGACCGGAAAGGTTGACCCGGCTCGGAAATTCAAATGTACTACGGCTGCCCGTGAGGCGTGCTACAAAAGGTACAAACACAGGTCGTTTCTATCTACCTACAGTCTACAATGCTCTACAACAGTGAAAGCATAGTTCGACAACATGGTTGCACCTATGGTAGCACGACTATGAGTCTGGACTTGAATGTCCCGTACATTATAGTTGCATCAAATCCTGAAAATTGTTGCTTGTTCAGTAACAAAGGCCGGCCGCTTGAAGAATTACAGTTTTTTAGGAGCGTACGAGAGCATTCGTGTAGGGGGTGGGTCACTTTTTGTGTCCCCCACCTCAAACACCCCTTTTTTGGAAAAATATAGATACCTTTTTTACTATATTAACTATTCGATCATACGCACACTTTCTCATATACACACTTTCTGATATACACACTTTCTCATACACACACTTTCTCATACACACACTTTCTCATACACACACTTTCTCATACTCATTGTAAATTGAACGATTTTTTTGTCATACCATATTTAAGTTATTATACCAAATTCTTAAAATGGAACATTACACACCTCACTTCTCTGAGAATATCTTTTTATCAAGATCTAACATATCCACTTGCTTTTGTAAACTACATAACTGTGCACTGTATGTTTATTATAAAAGAAAAAAAATTAAGAACACTATGGAACCCATAAGATACTAAAACAGTCTCATTATCAATGTGGAATTATCAGGGATGATGATGATGAGGATGGTATGGAGGAGGAAGATGAGTTTGAAGCCGAAATGAAAAAAGAAATGGAAGAAAGAATGCTACAAGCTGAAAAGGTATGTTAATTGATTATCATTAATAAGTGGAAACAATAATTAAAACAAACAAAAGTTATTTTCCACCAAATTGCTTTATGCTTATTCTGTAAAAATAATAATCAATTTGTAATTGTAAACGCGTTCTGTACACAGATACTTGTATTTTAGCAATAAATTTTATCTATCTATCTAATTCAATAGTTTTGGTAGTCTAGATCATTCGTAAAAAATGTTTACATTTCTCATCCTACATTTTTGCGTACATTTAGTTTTTTGCGTATCTTCCCTGCTTAACGCTTATTTCTAAATGTTCAGGATGCATCGATAGCAAACAATTCTATTACCCTGGAGCCAGATCTTCCAGGTAATTGTAAATCTCTGTTTATTCCCAATGTATTGTGGGTCCCTGCATTTTTCTTTGTTTCCTAAAAATCCTAACTTAGTCCCAATTTTATTGTTTTCCCTTGTTTATTTGGAATTCCTTTGTTTTAAAATTTATATTTGTAATTCCTATTTTCTTATTGTTTTTCCGGTAATTTTGATTGGGAATCTAATTGTAAGCGTAATTTCAAGCGACCCTCCAGGAAAAAATAGCAATGCACAGCTGAACACGTTACCCTTAAAAAGCTTGTCTGAGAAAGTATGAATAAGATATCAATATTTAAGATTTTGAAGATAGGTTATTTTCAATTGTAGTTTCTCTGCAAAAGTGACTTGCATATTTGTACTGGAGGAAAACTTAAATGAATTATCAGAATTCAACTCTTTTAAACATAGAAAAACGACATAATCTTGTACATTATTGACCAGAGCTGAACACTGTAGAAGATATCCTTAATCACGATTGCTTAATCTGATTATCCAATGTACACACTTTTGATTTTCTTTTTGTAATCCTCTTTTTGGATATTTCTACTGTTTAATAGTTACGTTTGATAAAAATTACAGATACAATGGACTAATATCCGATTGAGTTAAAGTCAGGTGTTCACAAGCCGGCTTTTAGAGCATTTAAACAAATATCAAGTTAATCATGTTAATATTAAATTATTAAAAAACATATTTTGGGACCATGGTCATTTTGAACGTTAGTCTTAATAAACAATAATCCAAAACTTACGTTCGTTCAATGGATGATTAGTTCAATTGAGGTACCATCAACACCAGAAATCAAAACCGGTTTTTCAGAAGTTAAAGAGTACATCTTAACGTGACACACTGATTGGTTAAATTTTCAACTTATTTCTTGGATATCAAATGCGTTTTAAAATAATCTTGGGTTTAGTAAAACCAGAAGTTCAAGCATTAATGTTGATATCCTTCATTCTAAAGTTTTCAGCTCAGATAAAGGTTTATAAAGGATTAAGAATTGGGCATTGCTATCTTTGCGTGGAGGGTCACTTATAATAACGCTTACAGTCCCTTTAAAGATGTTGAGGATATGGCGGAAGATCCTGGAGGTTCAACCTCATGTTCAGCTCGAGCTTCAGGTTCAGCCACAGATCAGACAAAATCTCAGGTATTGTTGCTAAATCGATATCTTTCTAATAAGTTTACTTCGTTGAAAATGTTTTTTTGTAAGATTCTGTAAAAACTATATTTTGTTTAGGAGAAGTATGACGACATATATTTTGATTCTGATGAGGAGGGAGGGGAGGATGGTGGAGGGGATAAACGGAAGGTTCAAACTAATGAAGATCTTCTCTATGATCCAAATATGGATGACGATGATCAGAACTGGGTGGATGATGTCAGGTGAACTTTGATTTTTTTTTTATGACAAAACCCATAGATTTAATAAACAATGTTCTAGTATTTTTATCTCTGGAATTGGATTTATTTGAGCAATTTCTTGCTCATCAGGGCTGTAAAAATTCACATATTGGTTTCCTGATTTAAAATAAAAATAAAGCTTTTCCATAGCTTTTCATCTCTTGTATATATCTGGTAAAATCTGGTACAGGGTTCCTTCCATAGCAAATTTAGGTCAATTTACCTGACCGAACTGACCTGTCACATTCAGATTTAGAAAGCAGCTGCATATATATGATATACAATATATATATATATATATATTATAATATAGTTATTTATTCATCTGAATTCAAATCTCATGTTCTTTTAGACGATCCTACCAGATTCAAGACAAGAATAAGGACAAGAGTAAGAACCCTAAACCGCTCCCCAACAGGCAGATTTTGTTAATTTCTTTGATTAACGAAACTTAATTGAGTTCATATATATCGACATTTGCGAATTTCTTCATAAACTTAGTCTCTTGGCCTAAAAAAGCAATTGTTTTCTAGAATAAATGAATTGATATCTGAATGCTTTGAAGACTTGAACAGTTAAATGCTTGAATACTTAAATACTTAAATACTTAAATACTTAAATACTTAAATACTTAAATACTTAAATACTTAAATACTTAAATACTTAAATACTTAAATACTTGAATGCTTGAATGCTTGAATGCTTGAATGCTTGAATGCTTGAATGCTAAATACTTAAATACTTAAATACTTAAATACTTAAATACTTAAATACTTAAATACTTAAATACTTAAATACTTAATGCTTGAATGCTTGAATGCTTGAATGCTTGAATGCTTGAATGCTTGAATGCTTGAATGCTTGAATGCTTAAAGCTTAATGCTTAATGCTTAATGCTTAATGCTTAATGCTTAATGCTTGAATGCTTGAATGCTTGAATGCTTGAATGCTTGAATGCTTGAATGCTTGAATGCTTGAATGCTTGAATGCTTGAATGCTTGAATGCTTGAATGCTAAATGCTTAATGCTTAATGCTTGAATGCTTGAAAATGCTTAAATGTGTCAATGTTTGAAAAGTAGACAACATCTGGTGTTGTAAGTGATGCTGTACTAAACTGTCCAGCCTGCTTCACTGTTGTTTGTCTCGACTGCCAAAGACATGAGCTCTACAAAACTCAGTATAGGTATTTAAAAAACAGAATGTTTTAGAATTTAACCTCAGAGTTTAATGATTTATTTTCCCCAATTCTATATGCACAAAATATTTTTAAATGCTTTTAGTCGCCATTTTGTGAAATTAAGCTAGTAATGTCAATTTGACCTGTTGCTAGGTACTTTCTTTAAGGTAATTTTATAAGCGGCAACTTTCAAAGGTTATTTTCCCAAGTGGCAACTTCCCAAATGTGCAAATTTCCCAAGCGGCAACTTCCCAATTGTATCCTAGCCACTCGGCCCTCTATCTCATTCGTTTCTTAGCACTCGGCCCCTATCCCACAATTGTTCCATTATCAGAGCCATGTTTGTGATAAACTGTTCTGTGATAACTGATGAGAAACTAAAGATACCGTTGAAGAAGCAAAAGGGGAAGAAGGGCAGAGTTATAACACACCCAGACCAGGAGTACCATCCTGTAAGGTAGGAAGGTTACCTGTATAAATATGTATTTAACTTTGTTTGTCTGTTGGTTTGTCTGTCTGTTCGTATTCAGTAAACATCATACCGTATTAACAATTTGGGCCCAACCTCTCAAATTCTTCAAAAAATAATTTTTTTATTATTTTTGTAAAATTTAAAAGTGTTATTTCAAATTGCAAGAAGTCGAAAGCCATGCAGAAAAATTTGCTTTACAAAAAGCTTATATTTGTACTAGGAAAAAGGGTACAAAGCGCCATCTCTATATGGCTAGAATTAGATCCCCCTGGCCCTCGCTCTTAATCAACAAACACAATGGAAAATGCATACCTGGCCTTGTAGTCATGACACGTCACTTACTTTATACCTCTGTGGTCTAAATCTGGGACTAAAAATACAAATATCAATTTTCCAACAACAGAAAAGCAAATATTTCCAGTTAATTATTGCTCAGACAACGGTATGTCGGACATGTCATTTCTTTATTGAAGGTTTGTTTTGAATTACGTGAACATTCATTTAACAGCAAGATATTCGAATATAATATAATCGATTAACTCGAAATACGTATTTATTAATACTTACAATATATTTTATTTTAGATGTGATCAGTGTAAGACCGAACTAGCGATGTACGACACTGATGAAGTTTACCATTTCTTTAATGTTGTGGCCAGTCATACCTAGTTTAATCCAGTTCTACCTGAGCTAATCCGTTTAGGTTAATCGGATTAACTTAATTCGGTCAAACATAGACTGGTGCTGGGAGACAGAAGAAGCAGGGTTTTGAATCCTTTTTTTGACAAACCAGTGATATTTATATCGCCATTTTTAAAAAAGTACAAAAGTTTTCAATCAATAATATCAGATCAGTAGATTTTGAACATTTTCTCTTTATGTCAAAGTTATATTGCAATTTTCCAGATTTTCAAAGATCGTCCCTCCCCCCCCCCTCACCTTAAGGGGGCAGGGGGTAATTCTGAAAAAAATACACCCGGCCCTGACATGTCCTAGTGTTAGTGTTTGGTACAGCAGCCACACTTAACTTAACCTAGGATGTCGAAATCTAACATTTTTTGACCTGAACAGATATTGGGGAAATTACCATTCGTGAAAGGGTATTTATGAGACAGTTCACCAGGGTTTACAATTTTCAGGAAATTGGACACCGAGGAGCAAGTTTTGTTGTTCTCTTTAATACGTGTACCCTAAAATTTTTTATTTTCCTCTTGAAATAATTAATTCTTCCCAATTCAGCGAATAAAACCTGTAAAAAATTTGCTGTATATATTACTCGAGGGGAAAAAAGATTTTCAAAACGGCGGGGGGATAAGTTTTGGGAAAATATACACCCCTAATGAAAGTTCACACGGGGAAAATGTTCAGTTCGTTAAACTCATAGCGATGAATCTGTCAGATTAGATTGATTGATTGATTGAAATATGAATTATTTTCAGATAAAATGGCCGACCTTCTGAACAGGGTTGGTCGGTCAGCTTTCAACTATTTAAGGTCAAGTGAAAACCAGATTTAACTGAGCCCGCGATTTAAAAATCCAGGAAAATACGACTAAAGTCTAAGCTTGGGCCTTATTTACTGCTCGAATATTGAGATAAGTTGCAACTGATTTTCCACAGAGTTGAGTTTATGTAATAATGATAATAAAAATCACTGTCAATCCTTTAATCAAAGATTTCCGGCTTGAGTTCCTTTCCGTTTAAGTTCCAATGAATTATCCCAGTTAAGTGCCGAGTGTAAATTCAGGTGTGGGAGTTTAATTTCGTCTTTGGCGCATTTTCATTGTTAAAATTGGCTGATTCCGTGATTTTGTTAGAATAAGACTAAACATTGAGACTATTTCTCCACTAAAATCAACCAAGGTTGGTTTTATTTTCGGGCCTAACTCCGTAAGTTGAGCCGAAGATCTTGCAGCTGTCAATCACGTGACGCAAGATGTCGTTAGAGTTGGGTCTAAGATTGAGCCTTAAACCTGGGTTTAAGGAATTACGACTCAACCCGAAGCTTTTAAATCGCGGGCTCTGAAAACAGTGGAATGACGGAAGTTCCCAGCATAAAAATAGCTCGAATTTTAGTTTTTTGTTTTGTTTTTTTACTTACTGTCTTTTACTTAATGTGAAATGATTTTTCTCAAAATATAATTATTAGTTCTTGTAAAAAGAGTGGTTTGTTATTGAAAAGTACAGTTAATAACAAAAATTAAAACTTTTTTTACAAAATTTAGAAATGATAAGATGGAAATTTTTTTTAGTAATTGAATTCATTTTTATTAGTGGAGAGAGTGGAGGAGTAGATAATGGATTTGTTGGATCTATTGTCGAGGTTGATGGCCTCAGAGTTCAGGTAGACTTAAAGCAATCCTGCCTGGTTAGGCGGGCCATGAAATCACAATTAAATGCTTCGCAGTGACTGTTAGGAATTATATAGATTTTAAAAATATTGATATTTTTCACTTCATGTATGCCGCCATTCACAAAATAATTAAAAGATCAACTCCAACCATAGTCTTACCCATAGCGTTCAGTCACTTAAAATTGTCTTCTTTTCAGAATACAAACAACAAATCTAGCATTTTTTAGTGATTCACATAATTAAAACAATAATTTAAGTTAAAAGTGACTTTTAGGGAAGTAAATAATAAATTTACGAAAAATTTGTAAAATATCTGTTGAATATTCGTCATTTGGAAAATTTAATTTTAGGTTTCGAGTCAGCTGGGTGAGGGCGGATGTGCTGTTATTTACTCCGCCAGGGATTCCGCCTCGGGCAAGGAATATGCACTCAAACGATTTCTAGGAGAGCAATTTTTAAACAATCTATTTTCTACAATTTTATTGTATTTTTCGTTTGAAGAACCAGGGGGTGGGGGGGTTAAATACTTTTTAGAGATCTTGGAGATGAAAAACTGGACTAGAGATTAGGCAATTTTTCATCCTTTGTCCTACTTTTACCTTAAAGTTTATTTATTTTCCCCTGAAAATCATTTATTTTCCTCAAACTATCTAACTTCTGGAGGGAAAAAAATATTTTCAAACGAAGGGGGGGGGGGGTGATTTTATCAATATACGCCCCTGGTAAGAACGGGGTTCACATTGACAACTTTAGGATAATCACCTCTGAATGCTAAATAAAGGTCAGAACTTTTATAATTTAAATCCCGACTCATTTTTCACGAATTATTCACGTTATTGCATTATTAAAGGTTTGTTTGGGGATATCGAGTTTAGACACTGTAATGCTCTATATTGCTTAAAAGTTTGGAACTCAAGGACTAAACCTAATTAATTTGAGCTAAGCCGCTGAACTACTTACCTCCGGCTCAAATTTTGAATCACCCATTCAAAGTTTAAGATTCATGAGAATTTGAGTTGAGGATTCGGAATTGAACAGTGTTAAGTAGTTCAGCGACCTCTCCAATTCATTAGTTTCTCTCCCAGGATAAAGTTTGTTACAAAATCAAATAATAGTAAGAATATTGAATTTGTTATTGAAATCGCTCTATCCGCAGTGTTTGATGAGGCGAGTATTAAGAGTGTTGTTACAGAGATTAAACTATTAAAAGAGTTGAAACCGCATCCAGATATTGGTAAATATCTTAAATATTAATAAAAAATCCTTGTTATATTTGTATTTTGTTTTTATTTTTATAATGTATTGGGAGAACTTCCGCTAAGGGAATATAAGTGTAACTTTCAGTGACCCTCCATGCAAAGAGGGGAAAGTCTGATTTACAACGGTACCCTGAACACCTTTAACATGCAAACAACAACAATAAGAAGCGTTTCAGTAGATACATAGGGATAAGATAATCCTTGTTAGTAGCGTTTCAGTAGATAAATAAGGATAAGATAATCCTTGTTAGTAGCGTTTCAGTAGATAAATAAGGATAAGATAATCCATGTTAGTAGCGTTTCATTAGATAAATAAGGATAAGATAATCCTTGTTAGTAGCGTTTCAGTAGATAAATAAGGATAAGATAATCCTTGTTAGTAGCGTTTCAGTAGATAAATAAGGATAAGATAATCCTTGTTTAGGCCACGATTTAAAGGGTACTGTTGTCAATCGGACACGTCAATTAACACATGGAGCTAGGGTCACTCAAAATAACGCTAATAGTTAAAATTTCGAAAATTCTCGGGAAAACAATTGATTTCTTTATGAACACAGAATTAATTGGAAAGTCTATAAAAATGGAAGAACATTTAAATCTTTTTTTTTTTTGGGTTTCTCTATTTATTTTTACCCCATAAATTTAAATTCTAGTTGATTTTGTGACGGCTGCAAGTATTGAGCATACAGAAGGAAGAAAGATGAAGGAGTTCCTCCTCTTAATGCAACTCTGCCCACGTGGTTAGTGTGAATACTTAGAATAGAACAAATTAAAAATGAGAAAATAAAATAAAATCTTGCAACCTTTCAATCTATCTTTCTATCTATCTTTCTATCTTATCTTATCTATCTATCTGCTAGGAGATCTGGCTAAGCTGTTACAGTGTACTCTTGAGCCGCTGTCCCCTAGGAACGTCTGTCTGACAATGTCAAGTTTGTGCCGAGCTCTGGCTGCTCTTCATAACAGATCCCAGCCAGTCATTCATAGGTGGGATATACAAATACAGGTTCAGGACAGTACATAGGTGGGATATACAAATACAGGTTTAGGACAGTACATTGGTGTGATATACAAATACAGGTTTAGGACAGTACATAGGTGGGATATACAAATACAGGTTTAGGACAGTACATAGGTGGGATATACAAATACAGGTTTAGGACAGTACATAGGTGGGATATACAAATACAGGTTCAGGATAGTACATAGGTGGGATATACAAATACAGGTTCAGGACAGTATTGGATTTAAAAAAGCGTTACCGTTATTTTTTAGACTTATCTCATGTTTATAAGGAAAAAAATAATTTTTGGCCAGGGATGTTTATTTTTGAAAATAATTTTTTTCCCCAGATGTTATTAAGTTTTTTTTATGTTTTTTTTTCACTGATTTTGGGTAAATAAAAGAATTTTATTTGGAAAAAGATGATTTTTAGGGTTAAAACTATCAAGCTTTCAAAGAAAAACTGGTCTTTTAATGTCCACTTTTTCATCTTACTCCACCAAATCATTAAAAAAACACCCCCGGGGGGTGGGGGAGTATCTAAGAAATCTTCACCTTTATTTTGCTAAACTTTTATATTTTAGGGATATTAAGCTTGAGAATCTACTGATAGATGCTAATCAAGAGATTAAACTTTGTGATCTTGGCAGCTGTACAACTATAGTACATAATCCTACACAGGTATCTTGGCAGCTGTACAACTGCAGTACATAATCCTACACAGGTATCTTGGCAGCTGTACAACTACAGTACATAATCCCAAACCTTGGTATCTTTGCAGCTTTACAACTACAGTACATAATCCTACACAGGTATCTTGGCAGCTGTACAACTACAGTACATAATCCCAAACCTGGGTATCTTTGCAGCTTTACAACAACAATACATAATCATACACAGGTATCTTGGCAGCTGTACAACTACAGTACATAATCCAAAACCTTGGTATCTTTGCAGCTTTACGACTACAGTACATAATCCTACACAGGTATCATGGCAGCTGTACAGTGTAAAACTACAGTACATAACCCTACACAGGTATCATGGCAGCAGCACAATTTAAGTGCATGATCCTACACATGTATTTTGGCAGCTGTACAACTACAGTACATAATCCTACACAGGTACCTTGGCAGCTGTACAACTGCAGTACATAATCCTACACAGGTATCTTGGCAGCTGTACAACTGCAGTACATAATCCTACACAGGTATCTTGGCAGCTGTACAATTAAAGTACATAATCCTCTGCAAGTATCTTGGTAGCTGTACAACTTCAGTACATAATCCTACACAGGCAGCAGCTTCCAAAAAAAGCGTAAAATAAAATTTACAAAGTTTTGTAAAAAAAAAAAAAAATTGTACTTTGTACAGGACTGGAATGCTAACCAAAGAAACATACTTGAGGATGAGTTGGCTAAGTACAGTACACCTATGTACAGAGCACCAGAGATGTTAGGTAAAAATTATTAATATCAATGTCCTTGTTCTTGTCATTGTCATTGTCACTATGTCATTGTCACTTTGTCATTGTCATTATGTCATTGTCATTATGTCATTTTCACTATGTCATTGTCATTATGTCATTGTCAGTGTCATTGTCACTATGTCATTGTCACTATGTCATTGTCACTATGTCATTGTCACCATGTCATTGTCACTATGTCATTGTCATTATGTCATTTTCACTATGTCATTGTCACTATGTCATTGTCACTATGTCATTGTCACTATGTCATTGCTATGTCATTGCCACTATGTCATTGTCACTATGTCATTGTCACTATGTCATTGTTACTATGTCATTGTCACTATGTCATTGTCACTATGTCATTGTCATTATGTGATTTTCACCATGTCATTGTCACTATGTCATTGTCACTATGTCATTGGCAATGGCATTGGCATCATAATTGTCAGTGGCTGTGGGATTGGCATTGGCAGTGGCAGTGGCAGTGGCAGTGGCGTATTCAATATATAATTAATGTATTGATAAATATGTATTTATCTAGACACCTGGTCTAACTACCCTGTAAACCAAAGTGTAGATATCTGGGCAGCTGGATGTGTTCTATTCTGTATATGTTACAACAAACATCCTTTCGAGGTTAGTAACACGCAGGGATTAACGGAGTGTGGGAGTGCATTCATAACAGTTTGTAATCCCCGCGTCACAGGTTTGCTTTAAACAGATTGTTGTGATTGCACTCCCGCCCTTGCCCCTCCTCCATGCGATAGATACCTCCTCTGGCTCATGGACAGCGATTTAAAATGGTTTGGTGGTTGGGTGCATGGATTTGTGGCCCCGATTTAATTCATCAAGAGTTGAGATGCAAACCTTAGTTATAACCTAATTGTGCTCATTTTACCTATTGGAGTCCAGGCAAGTTTGCTACAAACATAAGAGTGAGCATAAACTCTTTCTTCGGCTCACCTCAAATAGCACTGATTATATCACGGATGATTTATAAACCTGGAGAAAGAGAAATAAAGCAGGTTAGAAGGACGCAACTAACCCATCGTGTTCTGAAAGACAAGACAAAAACTTTAAACGGAAGTGGCTAGACTTTTTAGCATTTAAACATAGTAAAAGTATCGGCTAGACTTTTAAGCATTTATAAAACTTATTTACAGTCTTTAAAATAATTTGCCCTCCTTCTTTCAATCATAAAATCATACTCAAATTCAAGATAAAAATATGCCTTTAAAATGTTTTTTACATTAAACTTTATGATTACATAATTTATTTTAGACATTAAGAGTAATTGTAGATTTGATGTATTTGTAGAGATTTGTAGGATAAGTAGATTGAAGATAGAATTTCTCTGTAGGATAAGCTGGAGAGCATCTCCAGTATGAACACCCTGAACACACCATAGATAGAGATTCTCAGATCTTACACTATCCTCCTGTATCTGTCTTAAGGAGGTGGGAGAAAAGTGGAGGTTACTAGCATTGCTTAAAAGAAATCCTAAGCATTAAGGAGTGGGAGGTCACCCTGAGAGTCTGATTAGATTTGATTTAGCAAAGGGGCTAAAATCGTCGACAGTGCTGAAAATTTAGTATTTTCTAACATTCAAACTTAATTCCAAAAAACGTTTAACAACGGCAAGGCTTTTAAGTCTTTTTGAGTATATTTGAACTATAGACCCTTCCTTTTGGACTTTTGCATTTTATGCCTTTTTTAAATTAATCAATCAAACGCAAATATAGTTATCAAACTAGTATCCCTAGTACTAGTAGTTTTGTTATCGCCTATAGTTAGAAACTGTGATTTTTTAAAATCACGTGTTCTTAAGCTGTTATATTTTTCCCAGGATTCGAACAAGCTTGCTATAGTAAATGGGAACTACAAAATCCCGGCCAATGATTCAAGGTAATTTTTTAAGTAAAACCATTTTGCCAGTTTCATGCGTCAGTTCATCTCCCTTCGTGTTATGCATTGTTGAAAAGTGACACTTGTCGATGTTTATCAATGTATTTTGTTGGAAAAACACATCAAAATTTATCTTTATCCTAAATATTGATTATTTAATAATTTAAAAGGAAGACGACATTCCAGAGGAAATAACTTTTTTTGCGTTTCCCCTTTAAAATACATTTCAGGACTAAAACTTTTTAATGTTTCAACATTGCTTTTAGTGTCAAACATTGTTCGATGAAATTTTTAAAATGAACCCACGCAGGACATAGATTTTAAGATTTTTCAATTTCTAAGTATTACAGAAATAGAAATTAATAGATCAATTTACAACATTTAACATTTTTCAACCTATTTTAACCATAGATAATGGCCATAATTTCAGTCAAGTTACAGTAAGAACTAAAAAACTCTGAAATAGCAAGACGACTTTAAGAATCAAGTTATGACTTTAAATACTCCAACGAACATGATATATATCAATTGGTCAGTTAAACAGAACCATTTCACTTAATAAGTGATTTAATAAGTTACTAAAAAAGCTATTTGCTTTGTAACAACATCAAATACACTTGATTATTGCTTTTATGTTGTCTTCCTTTTCCATAGTTTTCTGGTTCTCTCTGTAATAAACCTCATATTATTTCTTCTGCAGAGTTTAGTCCAGCAATGGTTTCAAGCAAAGGTGGTTGGTCTTAAGTTTAATATTTATTATCTACTACTGTCTAGGTATACGATGTACAACAATCTGATTAAATCAATGCTTACTCTGGATCCTAGAAACAGACCTACAGCTACTCAGGTTATCTATATATAAAGTTGTAATTTCTGTTTGTGTTTTGTTTGTTTGTCCGATCATAACTCTGGAACCCCTGTACGGATTTGCCTAACATTTTGATTGGGAAAATCGGTTGAGCCACGGGGATGTTCTAATTTTGATTTTGAGATTCTAAGTTTAGTGGGTCGACTTTTATACCCTAGGCAACCCTAGGTTCCTAATCTAGTTAATTATTTAATCAAAAGAATTGATTTGTGCTCTCATGCTTTGATTTGATTCTAAAAACCTTAAGTCAGATCTTTTGTGTTGTGAATTCGGGATCAAAGATTGATCTACAATTACATCTTAAACAAGCCTACGGGTTACTTTAACTTGTCAAGCAAACAAAGGATCAATCATTTATCCTTAAACTTTAAAGTATCCACTTTAGATATCGAGATCAAGCGATCAAAAAATAATATTGAACACAAAAGTTAAATTTTTTGTCATAAACCTAAACCAGAAACCTTAATCATAATTCATAGATCACTCCTGTATGCCAAGTCCATTAGCGCCTGATCCAATCAAGGTTCAGTCTTGTGATTGTTGTCTATTTTGAACCAACAGAAATTGCATAGCGGTAACCTTTCTATCTATCTCATTATTCAATTGGAGATATGAATCCTTTAATCGGCGCTATAACAGTAAATGGAATTATTTACTTCTACTGAAACTATAGTGAGATTGCAAGTACAACTTTATTCATGGGCCTTAATTATTTAAATATATGATAAATTGATTGGTTTGTTCGTTACTTATTATCCAATAGTTCCGCCAATACGACTATAAGTGAATATCTTAGGTTAACGCATTTATATAGTCGGTCAGAAATCCTTTCAGTAATAAAAACCGGAAATCCGTGAAATATTTCTCGTTTTTTATTTAAACTTTAAATTATTATTATAATGAGAATCAATCGTCCTGTATAGATTATATAACCATTTATATCAAAGGTCCTTGAAGAGATTTCCGCCATTGCTGAAACCCATGGGTTCCCTACCAGGGGCTCTCTTGACCTTCCCAGACAGGTTGTGGTGCCTCCTACCCATACCCCTTTATCCGGCCACACCCCTTTATCCGCTCCAGCCACACCTTCCTCTCATCCTACCACACCAGAGGATCCAGGATACAGGTAAAATGCATTCTTCAATTTTACAAAGTCTTCTTTAAATCCTTTTTAATAAAGTGTGAACCCTCCCATTGATTTCAATAATTTAGACTGGGAGTTGGGAGCATGGCCGGGTTGCGGGGAGCAGCAGGAGTAGCAGGAGCAGCAAATATAACAGCTCTGAAGGGAGCTGCTGGGAGTATATTCAGTAGACTGAAGGATACAACAAAACATGTTGTAGCTTCTGTCCAACAAACCATCAGTCCAAGAGAACTAGGTAGATTATTCAACCCCGTCCTTTCATAGTTCTAGACGGCTCCATGACAAACTCCTGAAAGACAAACTCCTGATTATTCAAATTACTAAAGATTGAGAATTTTTTCTAGGATATTTGCGGTTTTTTTCTCCTAAAGTTTATGAATTTTATCATATTTCATTCAGAGAAAAATTTCATAATTTCAGGAGTTTGTCTTTCAGGAGTTTGTATTTTCAGGAGTTTGTCTTGTCAGGAGTTTGTCTTTCAGGAGTTTGTCTTTCCGGAGTTTGTCTTTCAGGAGTTTGTCTTTCAGGAGTTTGTCTTTCAGGAGTTTGTCATGACACCGTTCTAGACCCCCCCCCTCCCCTTAAGGGCGGATATAAGAATTTCTGGTAGAGGGGGGATTTCCGTTTCAAATAGGTTTCGTAAAGGCCTTTCGGAACCTTTACTGAAGCTGCTTAGAATGATAAACCAGTTTTTAATTGTTTTAGCTCTCTTAAAGGGACTGTAAGCGTTATTTCAAGTTACTCTCCATGCAAGGATGGCAATTGGCAATGTCCGATTTATTTTGAAAATTGATAAATTTTGATTGTGGTTTCTCGACAAAAGTGTCTTTGCATTTATACTGTAGGAGTTATCAGAATTAAACACTTTTAAACCTATTACAACATCATATCAACAATATAGCAGGCATTGGTATCTTTGCATGAAGGGTCACTTGAAATTTCTTTGGTGTAGAATTTTGCGAGTCCATCTTTTTAAACACGTGTCCTTATGCCTTTTAAACACGTGTCCATATGCTTTTTAAACACGTGTCCATATGGTTTTGAAACACGTGTCCATATGCTTTTGAAACACATGTCTATGTGCTTTTTGGGATAATGAAAAAAGCATCCTGGAAGGCTGAAGGTGCCACGTCAGGAAAATATTAAACGAAAATGGTGCGGTACAAACCAGATGTCACTTTCAACAGAAACCATTTTAGAATCTTCAAAGATTTATTTAAACACTCATGCTTTTCTAATTGCGGAATTACGCAGTACAATATAAGAATTGACCATGATCAGGCCTTACCAAAACATGACCTTAAAAAAATACAATTTTTAATCCAATATAAAAATCAAACCTATATAATATTATTATATTTTGATAGAAAAGCGTTTTTCTTTTACTTACGTTTTATCCGGTAGCGATCTTTGAGTGTAGCGTTTTACGAGTTTTTTTTATCGTTTTTCTAGTATGACCCTCGAAATTACGCACAGTCCCTTTTATAGATTTAGGAAAGGTACCGGAAGTTCAGAAATCTCAGTTCTATTCCATTTAATATCACAAATTGTCTTATTTTCTGATCGAGAGTGAATCGTTTATGGTACACATGGCTTAAGGGATTCTTCTTCTTAGATTTTCACTGTATTACCTCCCGTGTTGCAGCAATGGCATTTCCAGTAGAGGGTATTGAATCAACATATAGGTAAGTTTTCCAATATTTCCAGTAAAGGGTATTGAATCAACATATAGTTAAGTTTTTCAATATTTCCAGTAGAGGGTATTGAATCAACATATAGGTAAGTTTTTCATAGAGACTAAAAAGTCGGAAGTCTTGTGAGCGGTAATCATTGATAGATGATGTGGGGAAAGGATAAAAAGTATCCTTGAGTGTTTGTGATGAAGTTTTGCCTTTTATCTGAAGTTTTCTATCCCAAGACTTTCTTTCAACCTGTTAAAATGGATTTAAACTATTTCCTTCCAATCAAAATGTTTTTAGGTCTGTGCGGCTCTGTGGAATTTTCGACTGTTAAAAACTTTTTAAATTGTTTTCAACTCTTTCTAACCAAAATTGTCTACCATAGGTTTCTGCCGCTCTGAATATTTAGAAACTGAGTTTACCTTTTGAATGGAAATCAGTTCAATTTTATTTACGGTTTATAGTAATGATTGCAAATGCGCTCTGTGTTCAAAGAATGAGTTTAACCTGTAAAAATGGCCAATCAAAAGTTTCCAGCTCTACTTTATGACGCTTTCTGGACTCGCACATCGAGTTTTACTATTTTGAATGGATTAAAATATTCTCCATCAAAAGTATTTAACTCTGACTTTTGATGCCTGTTTGTTCAGAGACTAAGTTTAGAATGGATTTAACCGAACTCTAATCATTTAAAAGTATTTAGCTTAGTTTTTACCGCTCTGTTTATTCAGAAACTGGGTAAATCTCTAGAATGGAACAGATTTTTTTGAAAGTCAAACGCCTTTTTTCAGTCTAAACTACACAACAAAGTTTAATGGATTTTTTCTCAAAATGGGCTCGACAGGGATTTCTAAAATCTACATGCTAGGTTTAGACAAAGCCTACTTTCAGAATCTGAAAAATCCTTAGTTGTCTCTGTTTATAAAACCTACTTCATAGCTGAGGTGAACGTGATAGAAGATGTAAAGAATATGATGGAAACAGCACACTGTGGTCACTATACTGTTTATAATCTTGTTTATTCAGGAATCATATAGAAGATGTAAAGAAAATTATGGAAACAGCACACAGTGGTCACTATACTGTTAATAATCTTGTTTATTCAGGAATCATATAACAGATGTAAAGAATATGATGGAAACAGCACACAGTGGTCACTATACTGTTTATAATCTTGTTTATTTAGGAATCATATAGAAGATGTAAAGAATATGATGGAAACAGCACACAGTGGTCACTATACTGTTTATAATCTTGCAGAAAGAACGTATCCAGGAACCAGGTACAAACATTATACAGTAGGAACCCTTTAATTTAATATACTAGGAACCTTTAAATTTAGTATATTGTTTACACTTTAATTTAGTATACTAGGAACCTTTTAATTTAGTATATTGTTTACACTTTAATTTAGTATACTAGGAACCTTTTAATTTAGTATATTGTTTACACTTTAATTTAATATACTAGGAACCTTTTAATTTAGTATATTGTTTACACTTTAATTTAGTATACTAGGAACCTTTTAATTTAGTATATTGTTTACACTTTAATTTAGTATACTAGGAACCTTTTAATTTAGTATATTGTTTACACTTTAATTTAATATACTAGGAACCTTTTAATTTAGTATATTGTTTACAATTTATTTAGTTTACAAGGAACCTTTTAATTTAGTATATTGTTCACACTTTAATTTAGTATACTAGGAACCTTTTAATTTAGTATACCGTTTACACTTTAATTTAGTATACTAGGAACCTTTTAATTTAGTATACCGTTTACACTTTAATTTAATATACTAGGAACCTTTTAATTTAGTATATCGTTTACACTTTAATTTAGTATACTAGGAACCTTTTAATTTAGTATACTGTTTACAATTTATTTAGTATACTAGGAACCTTTTAATTTAGTATATTGTTTACACTTTAATTTAGTATACTAGGAACCTTTTAATTTAGTATACTGTTTACAATTTATTTAGTTTACAAGGAACCTTTTAATTTAGTATATCGGGAACCCTTTGACATATTAAGCCTATGCAGTGTGCACATTTATTCATCATGCAAAAACTAAATCTACCTGATGAGAAAATTAATCATTAGTTTTTCAAGTTTCAGTAAAATTTTTGCAAAAGAAAGTTTACCAAAATCATAAAGAGGAGGAAAATTTGTTTAAAGAGTTTTTTAAAAATTTTAAGGAAAGTTTTAGTGAAGAAGTGAGAATGATGAGCTGGTAGTTTGGAAATAATAATGAAAAGTTCGAACATTTTTTTTAAGGTATCCAACAGGAAGCTTAGTAAACTATTCCTGGCCGGCCGGTTCTGTTCCTGCTCTAGATTATCTTATAGACATTCTCTCCAACATTCTAGAATATTTAGCAAGGTAATATTCCTCTAGATTCTCCAACATTCTAGATTATTTTAAAAAATTGTATAAAAAACGATTGCTGATCGTTTTCGAAAACGATCGTTATTCATTTTCTAAAAGTTCAAAACGAGTGGGTCTTTTAAAAACGATCGAAAAACGGAAAAAACGCGTGTTTTCAAAAACGATTTACAACCCGAATTGTGACAATAAATATATTTATAAATTATGTTCAAAACAAATTTTTAGCCTTTAATATTTCTATTTTTTATTATTTCTTGATTTATTCTAAGGACTCTTGGCTTATGACAGGAGATTTAATCTTTCTGTTGCTTCAATCCTAAATTATTTAGAGATGGATAAAATGTTTATTTTTTTCTAATTGACTTGAATTTAAAACTCCAAGCAATCTAAAAGTATTCAAGAATTCAAGAAATGATTTTTTTTATATGATATAAACCTAAAATTATTTAGGCGTACAAGAAATATTTTTGATGGGATTTTAATCTAAAATTATTTAAGGGTACAAGAAACATTTTAAAATATTTTATTTTATACTTTTTAATTTCATTTTTAAACGGTGCAAGCGGCTTGAATTAGTAAATTCATTTCTAGTCAGGGGGGTGAATAGTAAGACGTTTTACTAGCCTGATTTGATTTGAATCTAACATTAATTAGCGATACAAGAAATGTTTTTATTTTATTTGAATTAAAAATTGTTTAGGGACGCCAGAAATGTTGTTGTGGTTCATTGTTTGGATGGGAAATCATCAACAGCTTTAGGTAACAACAACAACTTCTTTTGAACGTATCATTATCATCAATAAACATGTTTTTATTACTTATCTTCTGATGATAAGTAATCTTCGACCATGAATATTATTTATATACAAGGTGTCTCTGAATCAAGTGTGTTTAGGGTTTTTAGCACCATTATTTTGTGTTAAAAAGTGCTTCTAGTTGGTACAATATCCCACCATGGGGGGGGG